AAGTAGATTCAAAGTTTTAAGAATAAAAGGTAAAGAATTAATCTCAGAGACAGACACTATGACACACCTATAGGCCCAGCTACTTGGGAGCCTGAGGCAGGAGGATCATTTGTCCCCAGGGAGTTCCTAGCTTGGGCAGCATAGCAAGCCCCATCACATAAAGAGATATATATATATATGTAATTATATATATATAATTAATCTCACCTTCCAAACAGGGAGAAATGAGTTGAAAAAAGTTATGATGTGTCTACCTGTGAAGATTCCTACAAATTTAGGACAGTCCCTTTGGGCGAGCTTATTTGGTGGCTGGACCTAATTCAATATAAGGTAGAAAAGTCAAAGAGAAAATGAAATAAAAACTAAATGGGCCCCTCCACCAACAAAAAATTAAAGCTTATTGCTGATGGGAGGTCACCATTGAGAATAAAAGATGTAGAACAAACTGAAAAAGGAAGCTCTCAAACTGACGAGGTGAAAAAAGAAAATAAAGGGGAACCCTGAGGGTCTGTATGCACAGTTGGTCTTCCCCTGTGCAACAAAATCTAGGGCCACTTCAGGGTTCTGTGCCCTTTTGTTCCTAACTCGACATCGCCCACTTCTGGCCAGAATGTAAAGCAACCCCCAACCCAGCATCTAAACCCACTTGAACCTCTGCTGCCCTCCAATGACTAGAAAGAATCGAGGTTTTATGACACAGGTGTCAGTAGCTTCTTCCCTCAAACTCAACTTCTCTTATGCTTTGTAGTAGCTATCTCAACACGTGAAATATACAATCCACTAGGTGGCAGCAGAGCCTACGGAATAACATCAAGATCCCCTTCCAAAGGTAATTTCCAGCTAGGATCAAACACTCAATTTTTTAAGACTTGTGGGAGAATGGTCTCCATTATAAAAACAAAATGCTAACAAGGCACAGGCATTTGATGACTATCTCCCTGGGAGTTGAGCACATTTTCAAGCAAGGGTTTGTCCCTTTGGGCCCAGTCACTCTTCCTTCTGATCCAGGGCCCAATTCATCAGGAACTTTAATTCTCAAACTGTAATCCAATACAGTTCTGTCCTTTTCCTCATAACCCTTCAGAACACCTGAGATGGACTGAGAGCCTTTTAAAAAGAATTTCACAGGCCCAGCGCAGTGGTTCACACCTGTAATCCCAGCACTTTGGGAGGCCGAGGTGGGCGGATCACGAGATCAGGAGTTCGAGACCAGCCTGACCAAGAGACCAGCCTGGCCAATATGGTGAAACCCCATCTCTACTAAAAATACAAAAAATAAGCCAGGCGTGGTGGCGAGTGCCTGTAGTCCCAGCTACTCAGGGAGGCTGAAGCAGGAGAATCGCTTGAACCCAGGAGGCGGGGCTGCAGTGAGCTGAGATAGCACCACTGCACTCAAGCCTCAGCAAGAAAAACTCCATCTCAAAAAAAAAAAAAAAAAAAATCACACACACAAAGAAACATGGAAAAACTAAAGTATATAAATTTTTTAATACTGAAATCCACTGAGCTTCTTTCTGTCATGCATTCGTTCAAAAATTTGCTGCCGCCTACACACCAAAAACTGATCATTTCAGGTGTTCTACAGGTCAGAAGCTCACTGGGAACATTTTTCCTTTTGTATTTTCATTTGTATAAAAATACTGAGTCCTTCTTGATCACCTGGATCGCCACCTACAACCAGTAATGCCAACTGATAGTTTTATCATAGGGCTTCTTGAACTGCCATCTTTGGACATGTTTTCAGGAGACACAAAGTCTGAAGTTTGGAAAAGGCTATATTAATAGACCTAGGTATTACATTAGTCCTGGCTGTTCAAAAAGTCTTACAGGACAGGGAAGGAACTGGGGCTAGAAAGAGATTCAAAAAGAAATTGAGTTGAATCTGTTTAATCTCTTCAAAATCTGTTCACGCCAAATGGTAGATACATGAGTGTTTGTTACATTATCTGTACTTTTCTTTTTTTAATTGTCATAATAAAAGTAAATAAAGGAAAGTAATAAGGTGAGGCAGTGATAAAACACCTGTGGTATCTATTTGAATGCAAGTATTTAACTCTACAATTGACAAATACTATAAACAACTGAGCAAAACGAGGGTATAAAAATAGGATTTTTTTAAAAGTTAAACTGTATTGTCAGACTTATTAGTTATAAGATTTCTAGCAAGGCTCTCTCAAGTTCAGTTCCTCATCTGTAAATGGGAACAGCAAGCCTATCCTCGTGAAATTATTTTGAAAATAAAATGATACAGAATGAGAAGTTACTTAAAGCATAGCACACACTGAGCAATCATTATCTGTTAACTTCCTTACTTCCCCTTCATTTATTTATTTTTTTTAACCCAATGCCATTTTCTTTTGATCTGCCTTCTTCAGAGTAGTTACTGGTTTTAAATGTCACCCCCAAATTCACGTAAGATCAGCTACATTATAGATGTTTACGTTTTTAATATCAAATTCTCAACTTAGTTGGAAAATATGAAGATGTTCAATCTGCTTTGTTCTACCTTCTGAGCTGGTATAAACATTGAGAATTTACTTGGAACTATGTTTAAAGTGCTGTGGCACACTGCACATATAGCTGAGTTAGAAACACATAAAAGGAGCAAATAAATGTATATTTTTAAAAACTGAGAGCAGGACAGTGTAGTGTATGTCAAATGAAGGCTCCCTCTGAAAAACAATCTGGACAATCCCCCACAGAGAAGGATTTTTCTATGAACATACTCTCCATAGAATGATTTAACACTGCAATCTGGGATTGAAGATTTTGCTATGCCTTGGGCCCATAATTCTCGGCTGAACAGGTGGTCCTAGGTTGTTAATATGGTCTGCAGTACAGTTTCTGCTGAGACTGCTTTTTTGTCTCTACTTTTGTCACAATTTTGAAATACTAAGCTCTCTGCAATAGAGTGATCCTCCAATCATGACAGCCCTAAGAAATAATTTTCCATGATTTGGTATCTCCCCGAGCCTAGAAAACATCCTTGAAATGTTTGCTCTGTCCCCTTGCTATGTACACATCATAACTCACCTAGAAAAAAAGAACTTCAGAAATCTAGAGTAAGCAATCAGAAGACTTAGGACCTTTCCAGAAGGCTCTATCAGGAAGCCCAAGGGTTACTCATATTTGCACAGCATAAGAAGGTCAATATTGAAGGGTCAGTCTTCTGCCTGCATTCTAGGTTATCCACTGCTAACAGTTACTTGGTAACTGGCAATAGCTGTTATCCATTGGTCAGATGACTCATCTGCTGTCCCTGCTCCCAGATGGTACAGCTGCTCTCTTCTCTGGATTTTTGCAGCACTTTGTTTACACCTTTAGTGAGGCCCTCACTGGGCTGTATTTTAACTGTTATGTTTACATCTTTTCCCCTACTAGACTGTACATATCTTGAAGACAGATACCACAGTTTTGTTCTGTTATTTTTTCTGAGATAAGGTCTTGCTCTGTTTGCAAAGCTGGTCTCAAATTCTTGAGCTCAAGCAATCTGCCCACCTCAGCTTCCAAAGTGCTGGAATTATGGGCATGAGCCACTGTGCCCAGCCAACAATATTCTTTATATTCCCAACAACAAGACATTGGCTGGCACATAGAATAGGGGGGAAGAAGGGAGGGAAGAGGACAACTCCAGTCTTAATCAGGTCTCCAAGGAGTTAAATTGTATTAAAATAACAGAACAAAGTGGTTCTTAAACTTTTCACTGAAATAAACCTCTCTGTCAACTTACCACTACCAAAATGATGCTTTACCTGAACTAACAGAACTGTTTTTGAGGCAGTATCAAAGGAAAGAATTTATGTAACACCTTATAAGTAAATGACTAATTCATGTCAGAAAATGAAGTATAGTCATTGTCACATTATCGCATCCACTTTGCACATAGATGCTCTAACTCTTGTACTAGATTTCTGCAGATTAGTATAAAAATGACAGCTTTCCAAGTGGTGACAGGAAGAGGTTTGTCCTGGGATATCCTTCCCCCAAATAAGATGAGATTTCCTAAGGTTCTCTTTTCTCTACCACCCAGAACATTAAATTTTGCAATGCAAAGGCAAAGACTGCATGCATTCATCAGTAAGCTACATGGGATAGTGGAAGCAGCACTGGGCCAAGAACACCATTAGACTAGGGCACTTCACTGCAAACAATTAACTATATGGCCAGGAAAGGCCAATGGATTGTTCTAGGCCTCTGTTTTCTCATATATAAAGTAAAGTAACAGTGTTGACATACAGTATGGAAAACACCCATATATTTATTGGAGCTTTAGAACTCTGTTTGGGAGGGAGGGATGCAGAGGAGGGCATACCATACATGAAGGGCAAGGTCAAGCAGAGAGGACTTTTCAATTTCTGTCCATCAAAAAATCTCCAATTCTACTTCTGCTTTATATGCCAAGATTCTTTTTATAAGAGTTTGGGAGAGGGGAGAAAGAACTCTACTGCTAAAAAAGAAAAGGAAAATGGTAAATGAACCAAACAGCATCCCATCTTGTATTTTAAAGTCTTTTCCCAAGTTAACCCAATTTCCCCATTTATTTCTACTTTAAGGTACATATTACCAAATGCCCACAGTCATTTATTCAACATACACTGGATGCTATCAAATGTTAAGTGCTATGAAAACAATGGCCCAGCATTTAAAGTCATCTGAGATCAAAATCAGAAAAAAAAGCAAAACCTACCATTTTATGTCTCTTCCAAAATCTCTAAGTTATTTTCATGGAGTTATTGGTGCAGAAATTATTGTACTAGCTACAAACACTAATTTTCTCTTATCTTAATGATTTGAAGAACAATGAGAAGACAAGGCAATGACCAAGAGCGGTAGCACTGATGAATTATGATGATATTAATGCATACTTTGAAGACCAATGGAAAATTCTGCAAATGTCAATAGCAGTATGGGAGCCTTGCCAACCATGTTCAAAACCAGTCCCATCCAATTTCTCTTTCTAAAATCAACATTATAGGACAAGGACTATAATCATCACTTACATTCTTTCAGTCTCCTACTCCTCAATTAAGTAAATGGGAATGATTCAGCCAACAAAGTTCATGACAACAAGGTGCAGGATGGTGCTGGCAAAGAGAAAATCAGCAAAGGCTCGCTCTGGGGAGATGCCTTGGAAGTCCGCTTTGTTCTGTGGGTTAATCTGTATTCTCAGGCAAACTGTACAAGAAGCAAAACACAAAAATGATTATATGGAAGTATAAAACAAATATGACTGCTAATGAACATAGATATACCCCAGGACCCAACAATTCTACTCTAATAGAAATGAATACATACATACATCAAAAGGCATATACAGAAATGATACCCAGATAGCCCCAAACTGGAAACAATCTAAATGTCTATCAACAGTAAAATGGATAAATTATGGCATATGCAAACAATAGAATATTATATAGCAATGAAAAAGAACTTCTGTTATACACAAAAATGGATGAATTGCACGAGTAAGTTGGGCAACACAATCAAAACATTAAAAATACACACTGGCTGGCCAAACCAGCGGGAACCCAGTAGGTCACCCAGAGGAAGCTAAAGCCAGAAAAGCCCAGCTCCCACACAGAGACCACAAAGCAGAGCCTAAGTATATGTGTTGGGGGAACAAATGTACCCTCTCAATTAGATGAGGAATGTTCTGGGATGCAGTACACAGAGCCACTGGGAACTCAGCAGGAGACAGGGTCTTGTTATGCTGTCCAGGCTAGACTGGAACCCAAGCGATCCTCCCACCTCAGCCTCCCGAGCAGCTGGGACCACAGGCATGGGTGAACACATCTTCCCAGCTCCATGGTATTTTTAGTGTGACCTTCTACTTATGGATAATGATTCAGGTTTTCCATTATAAGTTTCTTTTAAAAAGACATTTACTACAGTTAAAAAAAAGAATATAATTATTTTGTTTTTTAGGAAGTGCACAAAAACACTCACATACAAAATCAAATTATTTTCAACCAAAGTGCCAAAACCACTCAATGAGGTACCAACAGTCTTCTTAATCAATGACGTTGGGAAAACTGGATATCCACAGGCAAAAGAATGAAGCTGGACTCCTTATCATATACAAAAATTAACTCAAAATGGATCAAAAACTTAAACCTAACACCAAAAACTAAAAAACTCTTAGAAGAAAACAGAGCAAAAGCTTTATGGCACTGGATTTAGCAATAATTTATTGGATACAACACCGAAAGTACAGTCAACAAAAGTAAAAGTAGATAAATTGGACTATATCCAAATTTAAAACTTCTGTGCACAATAAAGGTACAACAAAGGGCACAACAGAGTGAAAAGGCAACCTACAAATGGGAAAAAATATTTGCAAATCACATATCTGATAAAGGGTTAATAGCAGAATATATTAAATACTTCTACAATGCAACAACAACAAAATAACCAGATTTTAAAATGGGCAAAGGACTTGAATAGTCATTTCCCCAAAGAAGATATAAGAATGGCCAACAAGCATATGAAAAGATGCTCAACATCTCTAATCACTAGGGAAATACAAATCAAAATTACAATGAGATATCACCTCACAGCTATTAGGATGACTAGTATCAAAAAAAAAGAATTGGTAAGAATGCAGGGAAATTGGAACATTTGTGCACTAATGGTGGGAAAATTAAATAGGGTAGCCACTTTGAAAACCAGTATGGAGTTTCCTCAGAAAAAATAAAAACAGAATTACCATATGATCCAGCAATTCCACTTCTGGGTACATAACCAAAAGAAGTGAAAGCAGGATCTCAGCCAGATGCAATGGTTCACACCTGTAATCCCAGGACTTTGGGAGGCTAAGGCAGGCAGATCACCTGAGGTCAGGAGTTCGAGACCGGCCTGGCCAACATTGTGAAACCCCATCTCTACTAAAAATACAAAAATTAGCTGGGCTGTAGTCCCAGCTACTCGGGAGACTGAGGCAGAATTGCTTGAATTCAGGAGGTGGAGGGTGCAGTGGGTCAAGATTGTGACACTGCACTCCAGCGAGAGTGACAGAGAGAGACTCTGTCTGTATGATTCCATGTACAAAAGGCTTAAAACTTGGTAAAATCAATCTCTGGTAAGATACTGGTTTTTATCTTTCACAGGGAGAGGGTGACTGGGAAAATGCAAGGAGGCTTCTACGGTGCTAATAATGGCCCTGTATCTCCATCTGGATATTGGTTAGATAGGTAAATTTAAAAATTCATCAAGTTGTACAATTAAATTTTGCACTCTGTTAAAGGAAAAAAAAGAAATATGACTTCTCAGAGTTACACTGAAACCTATAGGCTTTCTCAGAGAAAAAATACTATGTAACCAAAAAACCTACACCACTCTCTTATCTCCTGATTTAAAAGTTTCTAATTATACCTAGATGGGGATGCACTTGAGGCAACAACAAAGGGTCTGGGCTGAATGACAGAAAGTTTTTAAAATGTGAATTATTTTCAAGCAGAATATTCATTTAATTGGTAGCAGACTTTATAAAGATAGCACAGTCATTCATGAGGACCCTCAGTTGTCAATAAACCATTTTTGATCTCAAAGTTCTAGCAGCTGCTTATTTGTCTCAAAAAAGGCAGGAGACCTAAGTAATATAATTCATGAGAACTCTCCACTGTCACACTCTTACAGTCACCAGTGACAAAAAAAAAAAAAGTAGTTCCAGGAATACACTCTTCCAAAATATCTTCATGCCTGTGATAAATTATTACACTGCTTAAGAAAACCTAAACTCGCTTCAAACTAGCATCATCCCATCATTAACCAAGAAAAAGCTACAAATTGAAATCTAATCCAAAGGCCGTAAAACTATCAGACTAGTTCACCAGAGCCTGTCACCATGGCAACAGTTTTCATTATGCTTAAACATGTAAACACCATGGAAGCACCATTGATCTTTTCAGGTACCCAGATCCTTCAAAATATTAAAGACAATGACTGAAGCCAGGGTAACCAAGTAAACCCTGGCTCTAGAAAGTACAGATTTGTCATCCATTTGGGAGAGCAACTAGGAATATCCATTAATAAATGATTTTACCTTTTGACAAAGGAATATATCTTACAGAACAGAGACATTCTAAAAGCATGTTTGTAAAGCTGAAAAAAAATTAAAACAGTCTAAACATCATCAAGGGAATTAAACTCTACCACTGACATCCAATGAAATCCCATGCAATTATTCAAAAGAATACAGTAAATTCTCTATACACTGACAGCAAACTTATCTAAGATATATTGTTTAAAAAAGCCAATCTTTTTTATTTATTTTTTTTTTTGAGACAGGGTCTTACTCTATTGCCCAGGCTGGAATGCAGTGGCTCAATCATGGCTGTCTGCATGCAGCCTCAACCTCCTGGGCTCAAACAATCCTCCCACCTCAGCCACCTGAGGAGATGGGATGGCAGTCATGCACGATCACGCCTAGCTAATTTCTTTTTTTGGTAAAGGCAAGGTCTCCCTATGTTGCCCAGCAATCCTCCTGCCTCCACTTGCCAAAGTGCAGGGACTACAGACGTGAGCCCCCACACCCAGCCCATTCCTTATTTCATTTGGCCAGGGCACGGTGACTCACAACTATAACCCCAACACTTTATGAAACCAAGGTGGGAGGATCACTTGAGCCCAGGAGTTTGAGACCAGCCTGGCAAAGATAGGGAGATCTCGTCTCTACCAAAAAAAAAGTCTCTACCAAAAAAAAAAAAAAAAAAAGTTTTAATTAGCCACGTGGTGGTCCCAGTTACTCAAGAGGCTGAGAAGGGAGGATTGCTAGAGCACAGGAGAGAGGGGACAGGCTGCAGTGAGCCACAGTCATGCCACTGCACTCCAGCCTGGGAAACAAAGCGAGACCTTGTCTCAATAAAAAAAGTAAAATCATTTATATATAAAAATATGCAAAATTATCTTGTTTCAGTTAGAATCTAGAAAAAAATCTGGAGAAATAGAAAACTATTAATTGTCATTATTGCAGTGGAGAATACAGCATTGAGTTTTGAGGAAATATGGGAGAAAAAAAGAAAAATTACCCATGAAGGTGGATAAGGTAATAATAAATTGAGTTATCATTACTGTGATCATGGTAACCAGATTATTTCAATGAAACTTATGAATCAGAGTTCCACAAAGATGGAAAGGACCTCAGAGGTCATAAACACCAACACACCACTTGATACATACAATGCCCAAGAGGTGGTAGGGTGTGGGCATGCTGAAGGAGGCTGTACAAACCACGTGGGAAGCTTTCCAAAGTATACTCACCACTTACAGAATCTGGTAAGCCATCTCCAGATGGAGAACGATCAACTTTCCAGAGCCTGTGTTACTGATGAGGGTGTCACATCTCTCAGATGCATTGGAAACAAAAAAGGCAAAGAAAGCCTGTTCAAAATGCTCCACTACAAATGATCCTTCAGTCTCTCCCTGGGCACTTCCAAAGATGGAAATTTACTACCTCCTCAAGCAGCCTGTTCCATTTCAGCAATTCTGATTTACTCTATCCCCTTAAATGTCCATTTATTCCACAAAATATTCAATAAAGGCCCACTACATGACATCATTTCAGGTGCTAGGAATATGCCACAAAACAAAACAGTATGGCTCTCAAGGAACTTACACTCCTATGGAGAGAAATATACAATCAATAAGTTAACAAGTAAACCAGGGACTATTAGATGGGGAAGACAAAGCTTGCTGATTTAAATAAAGAGTGACTGGGAAGCTTTTAATTCAATTATCGCAGAAGGTCTCTTTAAGAGGGTGCTATTTAAAACCAATATTTGAAAGGAACCAACCATGTAAAAACTGGGGGGAAGGCATTCTAGACAGTAAAAACAATCTTGACATGTTCTAAACACAACAAGGACAGACTAACAAGACTAAAGAGATCAAGGGGAGGGGGGCAAGGGCCAAATCCTGAGGGGCATAGTAAGCCTCAGAAAACAGTATGGATTCAGTTCTAAGAGGATTGGAATAGTATAATGGTTTGCAGGGTTAAAAAGAAGCAGAAGAATTACTTAGGAGCCAACAAGCTCAGAGTAATAGTAGTAAAAACGAACAGAAATGAAGATATACAGGCTGTATTTTGGAGAAGACAGAGCTTGCTGATGAAACAGATGTGGGAGGTAAAAGAGAAATCAAGGGATCTGGGACACTTAAATGTCTTCATTTAAAAACAC